TACTTATATTAGATTATAATTTTTATAATAGCAAAGAAATTAATTTTCGATTACCAATATAATAAATGCCTCCAATTTCTTTGACGGAATTTCATCAAATATTATAAAGATTTCAATATTTTAATTTAGAATAGGATTAAATTCAATTAGAAATTTAATTAATTATAAAATATATGATTTTAACCATTGACTCAATTAAGATTAAATCAATTAGGATGAATCTAGCCGGAAATATACCCATTTGTGGTAAATTCTCATTAAATGTATAATAGAAATACTATTGACACAATTCCAGCATGATTTTTTCTATTCATATATATATGAGTATTCATTAAATCCGTAACAATAAATCACTCAATTAGTTTTAATTTATTATAATAATATTAAATATTTTTAGAAACATTCCTTATTTAAAGTCACGCATTGTAACATGTAAAATACATTAGCTGTTCTTTATAATATTGATAACAAATTTATAACATTAACTTTTTTTTTACATTTTTAATTAGTGATCATACAAGAAATTATTATTAATTTTATATAAGAAAATCTGTACGTTGCACTTTTATATTTTAAATCTTATAATTATTCAGAATAATAATTAATTTTTTCCATTATGGTATGAATTTAATTATTCTAAATACGAATGTGAATCTTTTTATATTTATTTTCCAAAAATTTAGAAAAATAGTCAATAAATATTCTATGACGCTATATGAAATTTATTTATAAGAAAATTTAATAGTATAATCTACTAACCAATACTATCTTAAACCTGACTAATATTGTAATTTCCTTGACTTATAAATATACTTACCAGAAATACAACCTAATGTATATGGTCACGTATAAACTTTCCAGTTGTTTACATTAATAAAAAGATCATAATGTGCCGTATATTAATGTATGTTTGTATATACAATAAAATTTCTTTTTAATAACGTGAAATATGATGCGCTTCTTACATACATATAAACGATTAAAAATAAATTTGTAAATTAATTGTTGTCAAAATTATTTCTTGTAATTTTATATAAATGTATTTATATATACGTACAAATTAACATTAATTATATTGTAAATCTGGTTTAATGACTTATGTCGAGCTCGGGAGTTCCCTATACATATATATATATATATATATATATATATGCACATAAATATAACAGTACATATTAATGTTTACACCTTTGAATTAAGAAAATCCATTCGGTTATGACGACAATAAGCTTTTGATTTTTTATTATAATAGCGTGTGTTAAAACTTGTGTATACCGAACGAATATAAAATTATCATATTTACATGAAAAATATTAGAAAAAAAAAATTAAAAATTCAAAGAAAATCAAAATTTTTAAATCCCATATAATATGAATGTGAAATATTTGAAAAATTTTAAGATGAAAATAAGATGAATCAGAGATTTTATTTCATTTAATTTAAAATGTTGAAATATTGAGTAATATAAATGTGATTATAATCGATCATTATTATTTAAATATCAATCAGATAGTAATCAGATTAAAAATATAATTATGCAGATATTTAGTATGTAATTGAGAAATGGATAATTAATACGAAATTCCATCATATGAAGGATCATCTGAGCGATTATAAATAAGAGTTATGCAAAAAAATAAATTGGAGTGACCAAAAACATATAGTAAGATCTTTTAAGATTGACTTAAGATTGAATAAGAAATATAAAAACTATGTAGAAGTTTTGACATAAAATCGATACTTAATTCGATTATCGAAGTCTGCAGCCGTAAACAGTCGATGGATTGCATTTTTATATTACTTGTGATTTCAATAAAATTTAAAGTTTTCATATTATGAAGAAAATAACATGTAGTTTATACAATTAATTTTTAAATAGATATTAAAATATTAATAAAATAAAACTATAAATTAATAAATCTATCCCTAATTTGTACTTTAATAGAATATCAATGAAAAAATTTTTAATTTGTACAATTAATTTATTCAAATTAAGAAAAAAACTGACTAGACATACTTTTAAATTAATTGTCTTAAAGCTGTCGACACACAAATCAGTTATGTGTACATATGTTTATGAAAACTTTAAAGTTTATTATTAGTTTATATAATTTATTCTATTAAACATATATACAGACTTAGTTTATTGAACTATATAATGCATCTTTAATACAAACAAATATTAATTTGCTTTAATAAATATTTTTTTTATTTCATTTGAAGACTAGCATAATTGACCTTCAAGTAATAAGTCAGCCGGTTAAAAGTAGCGAAATTATAAGCACAAAATATAGCAAAAAAGAAAACCCTATTAATCATTAAGTTGATTAATTTTCAGATGTGACCTAAACCTAACCTACTAATTTCATATTCAAATATTTGAATTTATGTATAACAAATCCAATATATGCACAACCAATGGTGTATAAATAATTTATAATGTATGAGTGGAGTATTAGTGACAAAATATAATTTATTGCATTGCTAAAATATTGTGTCGGGATTTCAATTAAATTAGAGTAAAAGGAACTATTTAATTATAATTATTTGAAAATATAGAGAAAATAATTAAAAAGTATTTAGTATACACATTCATTTTTAATAAAGATCGTGTCAATTATTAATTGATGTATATATATAATAAAATATATATAGGTATACTTATATATTATAAATTGTAAATGACGCTTGAAAACTATTAATTAGATGATTAATTAATTGCATTCCGCAAAATTGAATTATATATTTCACTTCATCGTTTTTTTTCATAAGTTTATCAAGATTTATGTATAACAAATTTAATTAGATTAGCGTGTTTAAGCTCTACGTGAATTCTCACGATTAAAATTTTAATATAATAAAGTTATAATAATGCTATATTAAAATCGTATAAAATTAAAACTTTATGCAAATCAGTTACTTTTGTTATCATTACCACAGTAGTTATAATGCAAATATTATATTATTTATAGAGCTTTATAAAGTTTTTCATCTTTTGAGGTATATGCGGGATTCCGGAAAGCTTTGTAATATTAATAATGTTAATAATAAATTAAGCAATTCCTGTATATTATATTTTATTTAGGTATGTAGGTAGTATTTTATTGTATTTTTTTGTATTCAGCAAATCATAGTATTAAAAAATTGCATATATTTAGGCTAATAACTTTAAAATATTTACATTTAATATTGAAAAATTCTTCAAAAAAAACATGTACTACCATAAATACAAAAGCATTGGGGGTTTTCATTTATTCAGTTCTAGAATAGTTCTAACTTCTAGCACGTTCGAAAATTGACGCTACATATACTGAAATTATAGATCGTTCGGAAATACTGACTACAATAAAATGCTTTCAGAATCATCTGCAATTAAATCTGGAATAAAGAAATGTTAGAAAAGTAGCGCAAACTTCTATAGTGTAAATTTTGTCGCTTCCTCATGAAGTTTCTTTTTTTTAGATTTCAAAATGGCAGATTCAAATATTGAAGGGTTATTAAAATAAGTTTTCTTTAAGTCTTGTTAAAATTTCCTTATTTTGCAATGAATTGAAAGGCAAAAAATATGGGGATACAATTTCATATTCAATGTCATTTCTGTTATTTTCGAACGACTGATTATTTAGAAGTTTTAGAATTTGTAGATTGCGTAAACAAAAAAAACTTAGCAAAGTTTTTGCATACTGTTTTACGCTGCGACTTAGAAATTTTTTGTTCTAATGTAGAACTTTCAGCGCAGCGTGGATAAACGAAAACCCCCAATGTTTTAAGATTACTAAAGAAAAGTAGAAATTTAATTAAAAAACTAAGTAAATTATTTTTTTCTTACAAATTCAACGGTTTTCGATCATCGTAAGCTTAAAATTGTTTCTAATTATTATTCAACAATTTAATCTCTACTTTAACCTCGACTAAGTATGCCAATTTTTAGATATTATTTTAAACAATTGATAAAAAATCATGATATATATTATATAATTGTTACACTATAGTTACACCAAGCACAATATAATAAGCAAAATTTAGGTATTTTGAAAAAGTGCCGATTGTATTAAAAATCCTTACCTAAAATAAAAACACTAAAAATTTTTATTTTATAAAAAATATTTTATTTATTTTTATTTTTCTTTTTTTTTTTTTGTTTTTATCAGAGAAAACTAATAACGAATTTATAAAATCAATAATAATAACTATTATTTAATATTTATATTTTTATTATTGCATAAGAGTTTCATTTTTAATTTTTTTTTTATCATAATTTGCTCTTTTAAATAATTTTTTAATTTTTTTTTTATTTATTGTTTTTATTTCTATTTTATTTTTAAAATTAAATTTAAATTAACAATTTCTTTTTTAATTCGGAAAACAAAAAAGGTAAATTTAATTTTAATTTGTGTTTTGAAAAAAAAAAATATCAGAAGAATTTCATACAAACCTTCAAAAAACACATACCTACATTCAACAAAAAAAAAAAAAGAAGAAAAGAAAAACGTTTCGTTTGTATGAAATTTTTCCAAAAATTTTTTCTTTCCCATACTGGACTAAAAGGGAAATTGTAAATTTTTTTTTCAAGAAAGTGGAGAAAAACGAATGTAATGTAAAATTGCCCTTTTTAATTTTATCTTGTAAATTTAATTAAATTTTTCAATTTTATATAAATTAAATTTTTAAAATGCATATAATTAATTTTTTATTTTCTTATTTAAAAAAAAAAAATTCCCTACATTAAAAATTAATTTTAAATTTATCTGTAATTTTTTTTTTTATATTTTTATTTTTTCTATTTTTTATTTTTAGTGTTGAAGAACTTATATACTATAATTCTTTTTTTTTTTTTTGTTTTATACATTTAAATTATATATTTATTTTATATTTTATTAATTTAATTTTATATTATAATATGAAACTAAAATATTTTGTTAGAACCTTCTGTTTTTTTTTTTTTGTAATTTTTTTTTTTTTTTTGTCAAAAGCATAAAGCGCTTTTATACAGAATGCCTTGTTTATCTTATTTTAAAATAATTATATAAAATTTTATTATATAATTAAATTAAAATAAATAATTTATTTAATGCGTGAATTGTATAGTATGTGTAAATAATAATATTTATGTATATTTATATACATATATATTTTTGAAAAAATGTACATTAATAGCAATGTATATAAAAAAAAAAAAACAATTTTTATAAATTATTAATTTTTTTTTTTTAAATTTTTCTTTTTTCATTTGAAAAATAAGAGTTTTTTTTTGTTTAATACGTTTTTTTTTTTAATGTTCCAATTTGAAAAATTTCAAATAATTTTGAAAATTTTTGCATTATTTTAAGTCAATAATATAATTTTTAATAGACTATCTATTTTAAGAATTTTTTGAAAAAATTTTGAATTAGACGATTTGATACTTTTTTTTATATTTTTTAAATGTTACAATGTTTTCTTAAAACCAATTAGTTTTTACAATGTGACCTGGGCCGTATTGCACCAACCAGTCTTACTTCCTAATTTTTTTTTTTAAAAAGTCATTTCATTAGTGCTCGGACTCTTTGTGCAACAGAAGCTTTGCAAATTTTTTGAATTATTGATTGCAAAAAAAAGTAAGCAGTGGTAAGTGCAATACGGACCTGCTTTTCGCTAATGAATTTGTTTTTACAACTTAAAAGTAAATGGAATTTTATCAATAAAATTTACTTAACAACAAAATTTTAATTTAATAAAAAATTAAAAAAAAAACTCCTATTTTTCTTAAAACATCTTCTAAACCAACTTTGGTAATTACAACATTTATTTATAATTATAATTGAATTTATCTATAATGTATTTGATTTTTTTTTATGTATTTTCATATGTTCTTTTTAAATTTTTAAATTAATTATTAAATCTGATGCTCTACAATGTTTCAACTATAATAATATGTTTTAATATATCAAAATTTTCTTTAATATTTTTTGTTTTGAGTATTTAAAATTAAAGATAATTAAATTAAAAAAATTATAATGAATAATATAATAGAGTAATAATATTATATAATATGCATACAAAAGTATTTAAGAGTATATATAAATATATACATGTATATAATATCAAAAAAAAGGCAGTTTTTTTAGTTAAAATTCATTTTAGTTCAAAGTTGTTTTATAATAATTTAAAAAAATAAAATATAAAAACAAAAATTGTATGAAAAAATTATTATGAATTTTACAAAAGAAAATAAAAATATGAAAGAAAAATAGAAAGATTTTATATAGAAAGTTTTATTTTTTAAAATAACAATGTTTTTAATGACCAGACATTTTGAATGCTTTGAATGAATTACAAAGTTAATATTCATTTTTATATTTTTAACAATTTTTCATTTTAATTTATTTAATTGCTATTTTTCTTCTTCAAATTTTATTTAATATAAAAATGAATACTCGTTTATTGTGAATTATATAAAAAAAAAATTTACATTTTTATTTAAATTTTTTTCTTTTCTTCAAAATAATAATAATTATATAATATTATTTATTTGATTATCCTGTTTTTTTTTTTTAATTTTTACAAAATTTATTGAACTTCACTATCACTGTCACTTTTTTCTAAAATTGTAAAAAATAAAAATTAATAATTTTATTTAGAAAAGAGAATAAATTAAGAAATTATTTAAAATAAAATTAAAGAGTTAATAAATTTAATTTAGCAGAAATAAATAAGAATAGAAATTAGTAAAAAAAAAATATTCCATTTTTATTGTTAATTATGCTTAAAAGTTTATTTAAATAATCTTATAATATTAAAAATATTTAATTGTAGTAAAGTTTGCTATTTCTTTATTATGTAATAAAATAACACGCATTTAAAGTTTGATTAAATTTGAAAATAAACTAAGTTAATTTAAATCCACATTTTGATAGACCGATTCAAGGGTAGAGTTGTGTAAAATTAAAAAAAAAAATAAGAAAATATTTGAAAATAATCTTATTCGACTTATTCAGCAATATGATTTTAATTGCTGAATCACCTAATTTACAAGTTAATTACTTCTTTTAGATTAATTCAATGTTATAATATAATAGAAATTAAAATAAATTAAAATTTTTTTATTATTTCTGCTATTTCATAATGTTAACACATACATACAAAAATATGAAATTTACCTATAACTCACCTTTCTTTCCAGTATAAGCGTGTCGTTTCAGTCGATCATATAAGTCTTCTTTAGTTCCATAAAGCGAAGCATTCGACCTCGCTAATGTACTCATTTTTGCACTATGAATTCCTCCTGAAAATGAAAAAATTATACAAATTTTAATTATGGAAATACATATGTAAAAAAAAAAATTCAATAATACCATCTTTCATATATGCGTCATTATAAAAATTTGGCATTTCCCAACCGTCTTCTTCATCATCATAATAATGTGCATATGTACTGTGATGTGATGGTGCTATAGATTCTGCATATGGTGTATGTGCTCCATAATAGAAATTAACTTGTGATCCAGTTTGATCAATAGCTGGTGTTAACATTTTTTTTGGATCTTTTCTTTTTGATGATCTAACACAAATCATCCATATTAATAAAACAATTACAATAATAAATATAACGGCTCCAGCAATTCCACCAGCAATATATGCAAATTCAGATCTTTCAGCGCAATGTGGTCCAGTAAATGAACCGATACATCTACATGATGGTACTCCTTTAATATCTTTAACACATGTTCCAGAATTTTCGCAATAACCATCGCATACATCAATACAATCCATACCAGTACCATTAAATCCAGGTTTACATTCACATTTAAAATCTGATGTTTCTGGTACAAGAATACAATATGCATTTGGATCACAATGTTGTTGGCCTTCGGCAATATGTTCGCATGGATTCGTACATTCTTGTTTACTTGTCTGCATAATACAATAAATGAAATTGAATGTTTTATATTTCAAAATTCCTTAATTTTCAATTTAATATTTAACTTACCGCTCCAGTATTCTTTGTACTATGATTTGGTGGACATGCAATACAACTTGTTTGTTGAGATTCCGATTGATAATAGCCTTTGCGACATTCAATACATTGATTAATTGTACCATTCAAATATGAACCAGGTGTACAAACTGGTAAAGTGCATTCATCAATTGTAGATGCACCAACTTTTGGTGTTGTTCGACCCAAAGGACATGCTTGACAAGCTGGTTGAACGCCTTGTAATCTGTACGTACCTCTAGGGCATGGTTCACATTTACCATCGGATCCAAGTTGCATACCTGATGTACATTCATCTCTACATTCTTGTTGTGATGTAGCTTCTATTGATCTTGTTGTTTGTCCTAAACCACAAATTTCACAGCTAAATGAACCTTCATTTGGTTGATAGAAACCATGTCCACATGGTTTACATTCACCGCTATCAAGATCAAAGAATTTACCAGGAACACAACGTTCTTTACATTCTTCAATTTGTCTTGCACCTGGTGCTGCTGTAACACCAACTCTTCCAGATATTTTTGAACATTTAATACATTGTAATTGACCAGGTTGTGGTTGATATGTTCCACGAGGGCATGGTGAACATGTCTTGTTACTAGAATCATAATATGTACCGATTGAACATGGAACACAATCTGGTACCATAACAACTTGACCAGCTGGGCAAGCATATTCTGATGTCAGAATAAGTGAGGATGGATCAGGTACAGTATTTGGTAAAATATCTTCGACAGCGAATTGATCTTCTTCTAAAATTAATTTTTGTAATAGTGATTTAACATCAGAACGTTCTCCAGTTGATGAATGTAATACAGGATCACTATTTTTTCATAATTTTGAAAAAAAATAATAAAGAAAATGTGGGGGTTAATATTAAAATTTTTAAATTAATTATAAAACTTGTTATAATTTGTTGTTGTACTTGTTAGCAATTTTTCTGAAATGGTTTTTATTTTTGTTATGCGGTAGGCAAAATGAATTTTTTGATGATAAACCATGAGTTAGAAATATTATTATAATTAAAATTTAATGTGAGCGAATATTATTGTGCTTCGTTTTCAGTAAATTTTACAAGTAAATATTAAATAAAATGTGTTATATAACTATCGATATATTTACAAATCTAATACCAAATTAATATTACCAAAACCAACAATTTATGCGCTTGTAAAATTTATTACATTTTAGCTGAAATTGATATTTACAAAAGCAGATATTTAATTCATTTTCTTAGACTTTAAATTTGGATACCATATAAAAAAGTTCTTAGGTTATCGACATTGGATTTATAGGTTATTTTTAGCCACAACGTTACTCTTTTGTATGGTGACTATTTTATAAGTATAATGTTTTGTTTTTGGTTCAAGATTACCTTCTATGTACTTTGAAATTTTCAATTATGTACTGGTTAATAACTGGTTAATACCTTTAAAAATATGCAAGCAAAATATTCAACGATATGCAATGATTTTTTTTTGTTATTAATGGATGATACCCTGGATTTTTAGTCTACGTTATGTTTTTAAATTTTTTTGTACAACTAGCCTTTAATAATAATTATGTAAAGGTCCACTTTTTATTTACAAAACATTAAAAAAATTATTTAAAATACAAAGACTATATAAAAAATGAGACAATGCAATTTGAGTTTTACTCCCGGCACTACATAAAAGCGATTAAAACTCTAGAATATTCTATTGTAGTTTGTAGTTTTTTTTTTGTTTATTTTTTAAACGTACTTGACTGCTGGGAAAGCAATCTCCAATGTATAAGTATCTCCACCTTGTTGTCTACCTTGACGACCTCTGGCATCTTCATCAGTATCAAGATTTCTAGAATTTAAGGAATTTAAGGGGAAAGATTGCTTTATATAAAGATTCTATATTTCTTGTAATCGGAATATTTTTCAATTTTATGTTGTGTGCTTTGTAGAAATTATAATATTGTATTGAAAAAATTCTTATTATATAATGATAAAAAAAAAGTAATATAAACCACTATTGGACGGAAATATCAAGCAAAAGTGCACTTTAGTTTAAAACTCAAAAAAGAAAATCATTCGGAAAATTTTATTATTTATATCAGTACTTTGCTTTTTGGGTTTCTATATTTTAATTTTACATTTGAATAATGTACAGTTCTACCTTAAGGAATTTTAGTTAACCTAGGTAGAATATACAAGTTTTCATTTCAAATTTCAATTTCAAATATTAAGAGCTTACTTTTCTACTGGAACAAGAGCGTCCAAAACATAGGTACCGCCATCATCATCGGATTGTCTTCGAACCCGGTTAGCTAATCCACCTTTATAATGGTCGCATTTAACATCGATTTGAAGATCTTTGCATTCTCTAAAAGTGATAATACATACATAAGTTTTAGTAATTTTTCATTTTAAATTGGTTGAATTTTCATTTTTTGTATACATATTTTACACTAACCTTGATCCTTCTACTGAATACGAACAGAAGTTCCAATCTCTATTCAGTGAATTGACAGCATTAGTAACTTTTTGTCTAAGAACACCTTGACCAGCTCTGTTACATAGTACATCTGATGGGAAGAGCATTTTTATTCTAAATACTCTTTGGGCCGGTTTCGATGCTGCATTGTGCAAATTAAATAAAATCATTTGTTTAAAAGTATTTACATATTCACTATATCAGAAAAAAAAAAAATTCATTGCACTTACGCGAGCACGCTGGATATACTAATGACATTGCCGGTTCAAGAGTTGGTCTCCAAAAGCCTTCAGCACCACAAGTATAAAATTCAGGAACTGGTTCTGAGAATCTTAGACCAGGTTGACATGCAATTTCACAAACCTTAAATTGTCCACCAGCACCCCAGTCCTTACATACTTGAGAACCTCCAACTGGATCGGATGGCTGCGGGCAGAAATCAGCTAAAAAATATAATAAAATTAAAATATCGCACAAATTCTGGTTATTTAGAAAACATACAAAGCAGCGAAACTTTGAAACTGCATGTTGCGCTATTGCCAGCTGCATCAAATGCAACATAAGTTATTTCATACGATCCCCACATTAAGGTTTGACCAGGACGATGCCCATTGCGTTCTATTATTTTGACAATACCTATATTATCACTGAAATGTGGCTCGTCCCATGAAACAACAGCAGAACCATTCTTTGCAATTACCCACAAGTCACCTGGGCAATGTTCAACTCTTGGTGCTTCCTTGTCTACTTCTAATTCCTGACAATTAGGACCAGTATATCCAGAAGGACATCTTCTCTGACCGCACATTGAAGGTACCGAACGTTCTACACCTCCAGACGTAATTTCATATCCAGCCCAATTAAGAGTTAATCCACGATATAGAACTGGTTCGCTTCGGCAATCTCTTACTTGCTTTTGTATTTCTGAAGTTACATCAAGTGCTCTTCCCCAAATTTGAGCTTTAGTAATTTTTCCTTGGAAGCCAGCTTCAGCGTAAGTTGCACTTGCAGTGGATTCTTCTGGTTGTGGTCTTCCTAAAACTGCCCAGGCATATTTAGGAAGATTTCTTCCTCCACCATATTCCGTCTTGCTAGCGATCAAACCTTCAGTGATGAGTTGCAATTGTCCTGTCATACCATCCCATAAAATAGCAATATGATGCCATTGACCATCATTCACTGTTGTATATTCTCTAAATGACAAGAAAGCATCTTGAATGTCTGGGAACAAAGAAACTTGCACGCCGCTTGAATGAGCTTGCAACAGTAATCTTCTATTATTAGCTACATGTGGCGAATCAACACCGTATAGTGTGAAAAATATTCCAGAATCATCTTTTTGAGCGAATTGCACCCACATAGCTATTGTTAAACTTCCGCTTTCCCCAGTTAAGAAAGGAACAACTTGAGCTGCAGTCGATCTAGTAGGATCGCTAAAGTATAAATCATAATCCACTTGCATTGCTGAAAAAAAAATGTTTTTTTTTTTTTAATAAAATTTAAATTATCGTTATAACGAATGCATACTTTTTCTGCAATCATCTCCAGTGAAATTGAATGGGCATTGGCAATAGAATCCGTTTGTTAAATCAATACATTGAGCGCCTAAAGGACACGAATTGTCTTTACAGTCAATAATATCCAATTCACAATTTTTGCCAGTATACCCTTCTGGACAAATACAAGTATATCCAGTGCCGTTATCAATACAAGCAGCTCCATTTTGACATACTCCAGCATCACATGCATCAAATTCATATTGACATCCTATGCCTGTATAATCTTCCGGGCAAGAGCAATTTAATCCAGAACCAAAATCTTGACATTTTCCACCATGCATACAAGGATTGCCTATACATCTTTCAGGAGCTGTTTCACAATTTTTACCATCTGTACCACTTGGGCACACGCAGAAGTAATCTTCGAAGAGGTCAATACATTTTGCATCATTTTGGCAAGGTTTCTGCAATGGACATGTCTTTATTTGATCCTCACATCTTTCTCCAGTCCAGCCTTCGGGACAAATACACTCATAACCACCAATTCTGTCCCGACATTTGCCATTATTCATACATGGGAAAGTTTCGCAGTCGTCTATATCTGTTTCACATAGAGATCCAGTAAAACCGTCACGGCATACACATTCAAATTTATTGTCCAAGTCCAAACACCTTTCTGTACCAACAGGATTACAAGGATCACTTAAACATTCATCTATTTCAGCTTCACATTGCAAACCTACAAAACCAGGACGGCATTTGCAGACGAAACCATCTAATTGATCTTGACAGGTAGCACCGTTTTGACAAGGGTTAGACTCACAATCATCGATAGGATTTTGACAATTTTTGCCAGTAAATCCAGGCTCACACATGCAAGTATAACCATCCACTAAATCAACACAAGTTCCTTCATTTCTGCAAGGATCATTTGCGCAATCATCGATATTAATATCGCAAGAAGATCCACTCCAACCTGGATGACACACACATTCATGATCAAATAATCTGTCCACACAAATTCCATGTTTACATGGTTCGGCTAGGCATAAATCTATTTTTTCGTGGCAACGTTTACCCGTGAAACCAGGTGGACAGCTACAAGCGAAGTCGTTCACGAGATCAGTACAATTAGCACCCAATAGACATGGATTTTCTTCACAATCATTTATATTTTTCTCGCAATGAATACCTTCCCAACCTGGTAAACAATCACATTTGTATCTTCCTTGTTGTAAAGCTATACAAGAAGCTCCATTGTTGCATGGATTGCCATTGGCTTCACAAGGATCAATAGTTATATCACAATCTACACCAGTGTACCCACTTCTACAAAGACACGTATGATTATTGTATCCAGGTTCATTTTTGCACATTGCTCTAGCTGGACATGTATCGTTTCTGCAATCACTCTTCTCCTCCTGACAATTTATTCCAGAGTAACCTAATGGGCATTCGCATCTGTAACCTTGAGGTAAATCTGTACACGTGCCACCATTATAGCATGGTTGTGATGCACATTCATCTATGTCAATCTCACAACGTCTTCCTGAAAAACCTGCGGGGCAGAAACATTGAATACCGTGACCCATTGGAACACATAAACCGCCATGTTGACAAGCGTTTTCCCCACATACAACTGGTTTACACTCTTCTCGACCAACGGCTCCAGGTCCATCAGTTTTCATATTTGAAGGGCACTCGTTGCAAGTTTGGGATCCAACAATACTCTGATAATAGTTTTGTGGGCATGGTGAGCATGGTGCGAGTCCAGTAGATGAATACTGACCTGCAGCACATTTTTGCCGACAGTAAGCTTTTCCAGGTGCTGCTGGTTGGAAAGTGAATGTGTTACTTGGACATGCTTGGCAATCTTTATAACCATCTGTTGGTGGGTGAGATGTAAATGAATTTCGTGGACACTCCAAACAAGGCACAAGACCAGTTGGCGAATAAGTTCCATATCCACAAACAGGAATACAATCTAAGATCGATTTCGATCCCTCTTCTCTTGTGTATGTACCAGTTGGACATCTCATACATGATCCTTGCCGTTCTCGATTTTGGAAAAATCCCCTTGGACAATATGTGCAAATACTTTGACCAGATCCAGCATAAGTGCCAGCTGGACAATGTAAACATCTTGGTACGTCATTCGTATCCATATTTAGAACTTCACCAACAGAACATGTGAAACCACGGCCAATTGAACTTTTTAGAGCGCGTAACGGTGGGCATTGGTTACCAATATTGGAAATATTTAACAAGTTTTCAATTACTGCGCTCGCATAAGGTACACTGAGATCGAAAATTAAGTTTAATGTAGACCCGCAGAGATCATACAGTTGAGGTTGTCGGATTGCTGGTAACACAGACATAATGAAGTCCATTTTAACTACATTTTCTTCCAATAAAGTAGGAACAGATCTTATAAATGATACATTCATGTTTACGTTCACAGCGGAGCAACGTTGCGACAAAATATTATTAAGACCTCCATAATATTGTGCAAGCAAATCTTGGTATTGACTTAGACAAGCTTGAGCTACGGCGCCATTTGCTCTATAAATTACAGTAGCTGTTACTTGATAATCTGCTTGTTGAGTATTTTCTGAAACGCAATCTGGAACTACTGATGTTGGCCTCCAAAGTCTAGATGTCTCACATGAAAATTGCTTAATTGGGTCTCCATCTGTAAATCTGAATCCTGGTTTGCAAGTTGCTATACATTCTACACCACGGTCACCTGGCAAACAATTTATAGCTCCGTTGGCAGGAGGCTGCAATTCCCAATCAACACATGGTGTTGCTTGAACTGATACTTGGAAATGACACATAGCTTTGTTGTTGTGTTTGTCAGTTGCAACAACGGTTACGTTTTCGAAACCACCAATTGGTATAATTGCTTTATCAGGAACAAATGTGAGCTTAACATCACCAGATTCATCAGATGCCTTAACTCGCTTTCGTGATTCATTAAAATTCACACTATAGCTATCTTGTTTATCCACTAGTTCGATTACATAGCTTTGAGGACAACTTAGCAGTGGAGGGGTGACATCAGGTACAGTAATATTTATTTCACAAATAGCAACATTTCCATCATAATCAAAAGCAACATATTTAACAACTGTATTTTTGAAAATATACGACGGAGTCTTAAAGTTTTGTGGTTTAACTTCTAAACGAGCAATGGATCCTGAATTGTCGATAGCGGTCGGTTCAGTGAAATTAACAGGCATTACAGCTCCATTTTCATCGCGTTTTACTACAATTGGCTGTTGAGGACAATTTTGGAACACTGGTGGTTCATTATCAACACAAGGTGAATACCCATAATCATAACCCAAAAGTGGTTCATTCTTTGGCTCTTCGCAGCCCATTAATTCAAATTTCAGACAAGCATTGTCCATGTAACTAACAATTCCCAATATGACAAATCTTGCTTGGACATATTTTGGCAAAGTTATCATCGCTAATTCGCCGTAGTTTCCAGGATCTCTCATTGTTAAATTGAAATTAGGGAAATAAACAACATAATTTTCGTTTTCAGCTTGTTTATAGAAAAATCGAATTTCGGTGGGGCGTCCGACTATATCGTTTGTTACAACACCTTTCACCAAAATGGCTTTAACCCGATATACTTGACCTAAATCAACACTAACATAAGTAAAAGCTTCTTGTTTTCCACACCAGCCTGTTACAGAATTTAATCGAATATTTTTGGCTTCATAATTTGGTCTTTCAGATGTAGCATTGATTGCCGAGTCAGGGATTTTTCCAGATGTTAAGCCTAAAGGTTTAATAACCTTACACTCTGGTTCTCTTATACAGGTAATTGGTCGAGGGTTAATCAAAATATAGCCAGGGCGTTGACAACCAAAGTAAACTTCGGAACCCTGCTCATAACTCCTCGAAATTTGAATACCATCACTTGGACGTCCAGGATCTTCACAAACAGGGCCTTCGCAACGTAGATCACCGAAATCCCATATTCCGTTACCTTGACAGCGTACAACGTTATCGTGCTTTGATGTTTGTCCAGCTAACTTGAAAGTGTTTTGACAACCAAAGAAAAATGAGCTCTGGTACCGCGTGTCAACATATTGGCCGTATTCAGCTCCTGGTGTTGGCATTGGTAAATGACAGTCAACGCGGGGACATGATGGTTTTAAACCCGATAACCAATAGTCCGGTAAACCTGGTTTTGGATCATATACACACTGCCTAAAGCCAGATGATGCGGTTCCGCGTAAGTACCTTCCTGGATTATTGCATGTTAAAGTAACATTATCTCTGAATGGTACCAATACACTATCTGGGTCTGGTCTGACTACCATCAAACCTTCATTCTTTTCATCAACAAGAGAAACACATTTTGCATCTAAAAAACAATTAAAATTTAAAGTCATGATAATCAATATTAAAAATTATATTTACAATGGCATTCAGGAACTGTTCCATTCCATTGACCACTTGAAAGGCACAGCAAGGAAGCACTTCCAGATAAAACATATCCGAAGTCACAGTGGAAGTGTACAACTTCTCCGAAATGATGTTGAGCTTTATTTGTTAAAAACTTTCCGTTTTCTGGAGCAGTTAGAGCTGGACACATTACGGGCACACAAGATTTATTTAACCTTAAAGTATCAGCCTCATGACCTCCAGTTTCTGACTTCTCAATATTGAAGCCTGCGGTTCCATTTGCCGTAAACAATTGAAAACCAGTGTTACAGGAACAACCGTAACTTCCTGGTGAATTTACACATTTCTGGTCGCAGCCACCATTTTGCTTAGCACATTCATTTATGTCAACACAATCAAGTCGAGTACATCCCATGGCTTCAAAGCGAATACATGGTGCTCCAATATAGTCTTGAATTCTAAATTTGATATACCTTGCTTCAATTGGAATTGGGAGGTTTAATATAGACAGAGTTGGTTCAAGAATTCTGAATTCAACAGCGGTTCCGTCAGGGTTTGCGTAATCTTTATACACATCTGTTAAGTTGTTTGTGAATTGTAATCTTACTGCAGATGTAAATGCAATATTTCCATCAAAACGTTGAACAGACATTGTTCGGAATCCTCTTAAAATTGTGGGTGCTTTAAAATCTACCATTACCCAATTGGCACCAGGTTCAACTGAACTTCCACACCACCCTGCTGAATTAAGTCTTGACATTCCGCTAGTATAACCCTCTTCACTTAACGAGGTCATTATACTATCATCTGGAATGCCTCCATTCGCTAAACCTAAATCGCCAACAGGACGACATTCAGTAGTTGGAGCGAATCCTTTTTTACATTGACAGAAGAAAGATCCTGGCGTATTCATGCATTCAGTTGAAGCCAAATCACATTGAGTTGAACTACATTCATTTATATCCTCACATCTGGGTGGATTTTCAAAATTTTGTTCAGAGCTACATTTGATAATGTTACTTCCTGTTAGTTTGTAACCCTTATAACATTGAACACGTGCTTCATCTCCAAAGAAATATTGACGAGCTGAGTCAACAATAAATCCGTTATCTATTTCAGGATATTTAAAGCATCTTTTCCGTACACATTTTGGTACATCTCCACTCCATGTTCCATTCGACATACATATTAAAACAGGGTAACCGATACGTTCAAAACCAGGGTTACAATCAAATTCTACTATTGTCCCATAACTTCGACCAAGTCCATTTAATAGTGTAATGTTAGCATGTGAAACTTCAGGAAGAGGGGGACATTGAGACGCTAAACAAGATGGTTTCCTTTCCCAGCGTCCATCTGGTTGACATGAAATTTTTTCAATTGGGGAACTTGATGGAAAAGCGAACCCAGCATAACATTGATACATTGCAACACCACGATATGTAACATTCGTGGATCCAATAGAGAAGCCATTATCTATTTGTGGTACTGGACCGCAATAAACCTCTGAAATTAAAAATACAGTTTTATCTGTATGTGGTTTTAAAAATATATAAATTTACCTTGACATTTAGGTATATAGTCAACACTCCATTTTCCACCTTTCTGACATTCAGTGATGATTTTATTTTTTCCAGTTGCAAATTCTTGCCCTATCGGACAAGTAAATACAATAATTGTACCAAATGCCGTATCTCTACTTGAAGCAAGTGCGCCCATTCCTGGCTTAAGATTTGGACAGTCAGCCGAGAAGGTTGCAGACCACCTGTTTAAATATATTAAGTAATAGGTAAATAACTAGAGATACTTCTGAAATAGTTTGTATTCTAACTTACCCTACGCTATTATGTAATGCGTCAGAAACAAATTTAATTAACATTTCCCCCGATGAAGCAGTCAAAGTAAGTTTAGGTGCTTGTGTTCCCGTGAAACCATTTCCAGAATGAAGCCTTAAACCATTCGTAGATGAACCATCGTAAACTTGTACGAGATCAGATTTATGAACGCTGAATTTGTCGAATTTTAATGAGAGTGGTGCACCTTGTGGATTTCTTATGACAAAATAGCATTCCTGATTTGTTGGATAATCTTCTAAACCGAAAGCTGGAGATGAAACAGTTCCATTTCGTGAAGTAATTGTGGCTTTACATCCTTGTGTATATCTTAAGCTAAAACCTTTACCAGAATCACCCATACTGGATTTGAAATACAAATATAATTTATTTCCAGTTGATATTACAACTCTGTCGTTATCTTTAGCTGATCCAGATAATCTTGCTATTGGCCGACTCATTGGACTATCACCATCTCTAACGAGCATATAATCGCGTCCTGGAGTTATATCTAAGTCTTGTATTTCAATTGAAATAATACGTCCTGTTTGAGCTTTAATAATATATAAGCATTCCAATCCACCTGGATATTGTTTTGGATATCCGGGACTTGTTAAAACTTGACCCTGTGGTGTTGCTTTTAATATACCACCACAACTTTTAGGTTCAGTTTTCCATGTTGCTCTAAAACCTTTTCTTTCAACACTACCATCAGTTGTGAATTTTACAATCATAAAATTAGAAGCAGTTACATATGGATTATTAGCCAAATCTAATTTTCCAGATAATGTTGCAAGCGATACAGATTTATCTTCAGTTCTTCCACCAACTAAAATCTGTACTGTATCAAAAGTTTTTTCTGTATCAAAATCTTGAAATTGTAATACAATATTACTGCCCTGTGGACCTTCTAATGTCCATTTACATTTACTTAAAGCACCATATTTATGTGGATAATTTGGTGATTCTATAACATCACCACCAGATTGCATATGAAAATGGCATTGTGTTGGACAATCAATTTCATCTGAACCATCACCGCAATCATCATTACCATCACATTTAAATTGTTGATTTATACATAAGCTATTCGAACAATGAAATGAATTAACTGGACAGGCCATTGAACGGCACATAAATGGTAATAAACTTTCACATGTATCTAATTCCCATAATTGTTTTTTAGGTCCTACTGTAACAGCAACACATTCACCAGACATTGGATCCGGTTGTTCAAGTGACCAAAATCCAGAATATTGTGAGACTAGAGTACCAGCTGCTGATTCTAATGTATTTGTTCTGAGATCATCTAATGATGCTAAACCCAACCAATATTTATCAGATAAACGTTGATTTGGATCACTTGCTCTTGCTATCGACAATGTTATATTATTTTCATTAAATGAATCTATTGCTACTAAATCGGCGCCATATCTGAAATATAATATTAAAAAATAAATTAAATATGTAATTTGTAGTACTTTTGTATATATATATAAATAGTACATATTACTTATGTATGTTAAAATTTTTATTTTTGAATTACTGACATAATCTGTACGTAATTATAATTGTGGGAATATTGTTGGCAATTTTTGTTTTTGGTAAATAGTGGCAACAATTAAGCTTCAATTGTTTTCTTCCGGCAACGTTATTTTCAACATTTTGACTCTACATACATCTATGTATATATTCACATGAAGTGGACATAATTAGTCACATACTAAACCTATTTTTACATTATTAACCAAATGTAATGGGTCTTGTAGAAAAGATATCAGGTAATCTGAGATCATCATCATTTGTTGTAGTATTTTAAATTACGGTGTTAAACTATTATCTTGAGTGTAATATTAAGGTTTGAGTTTCTTTTCATAGCTGTGTAGTAATGTAGATACAATTTTATTAAAATTTAATTGCGAAAATATTAATATTTGTTTTCTTACTTTCTATTATTTAAAAAAAAATATAATAAACTTATGTCACGATTTTTGAATTTAAAAATATTTAAGCATGGTAAACCTAAAAATAGACAGGAAAAATTGTAAGCGTTGCGTGGAATTTGTTTTTTTAAAACTATTAATAATTTAAATAGCATTAAAACTGAAAACAAATCACAAACTATGAACATTATCTAATGAAAATGAGAGACTTGATCAGGATGGCATTTAAAATTAACTTAACAAACATTAACGGCAGAATTTCCTTGGTTCTTTTAATTTTTTTGGATCTAATTATCAAAATAAATTTTTATTTGTTTATAAATGAAAACTCAAATGTTTTATACCATCCATTTGTGGTAAATAACCTGGTTGCCCCGATTTTAGTGAGTCGTATTTCTTACAGAGAGAATCCCAGTTGTTAAAGGTTGGTCAAGCTTTTCAATGTTCTGCATCGTATACTATAGACTACGAGATGCATGAATATAAGTAATAGGGTGCTTTAAATTAGACTCAATGGTAGCATTGATTTTGTTTAATTTATTCTTAGTTTATATGACTCTGCCTATTAATTCGCCGAGCAGTGGTTGTTTAATTTTTTATATATAACATTTTACATATTAATATTAAATTAATATTACTAAGTGACTGTTTTTTTTACTATACTCAATGCTTAGACTAAGTAATCGTCTAATATATTATATCTGACGATATAAAATTCATTTTATTTATTTGATATTAAAAATATGAATATATTTCATTAATACATAAATTAAATCCAAAAATCACTATAAATTATTTTTAAAATTTCACCTGTTTTTACACAATACCTATATGTTTAAGGTATTCGGGTATATTTAAATATTAAAAAGCTGCTTTCAAAACACTTTCTACTAGGGTGCTGCTATTGGTTGTTTGAAATACAATTATTTAGGTTTTAAAATTTATTGAGTATTAAATTAAATTCCTATATTAATTTTGTAATTTTATAACCTTTTCTCAGCGTGATATTTTCTCTTATTCAAACAATACAAGTTAAAATACAGAAGAAGTTTTTGTTTTCAATATATTTAGGTAATCACTCACACCATTTATCATGCTATCAGAGGCGTAACTTGGCAAAAATACAAAACAAAAATCATCTAGACATAAAAAAAATTTTTGTATAAGGTGTAATTTTTTTTATTTCAATAAAATTTCAAATATTTGTTAACTTTTTTATTGATGTAGAATCTAATTTAGAGAATTAACAATTACTTAAAAAAGTGATTAATCAAAAAAGTCTTTTTTAGAATTTTATTAGGTATCATTGTTGAAATAAATGAGGAAATCAACAATGCTCATTGAATATTTGTGGTATATTGAAATTCTAATTAACATTGCCAATTTCAATATGTCTTCAATTGAGAGAGAAATCTTTCTTTAGCCTAGATACGAGTAATATTTGAAATATGGAATCATTTTTAATTAGTATGTTCTGCTTGAACTGGCACCCGAACATGGTCTTCCAAATTATTTTGCTATTTAATTTGCAAACGAAATTACGATTATGGCACAGTCGATTGGCCACCGAGATCATACGATTTGAATGACATCTATATATGTAGGTAATTTTTTGTTGGTACGTACGATTTCTTCTTCATATCGACCATCCTTACGTACGATTTCTTCATTGCGACTTTGGAAATAATATTAAACTCAAATAAAAATTTAATTTAAATACCATTGGAATTTTATACTACATGCATATATGATGTATGTATATATATGTACATATATTTTTACATATGTATTTAATCGATTATACATGCAATAGATTAATTTTAAATCATCCTCTTATTCTTTATGAACTTTTTTCTCCTCAATTGTATTAAAAATTTTCACTTTTTTTCGTACCTATGCGGTATAATTTGTTTTTGAACCGATCCCCATCTAGACCAACCCAATCTAATAAAATTATATCTGTATTCATGCATGTATGTATGTATGTAAAATTTTATGCATTTTCAATTTTTTTAATTCTCTAAATCTAGTCTTTTTATTTAAAATAACACAATATTGTCAAAAAGACCCAAATGAACTTTAAAAAAAATTTCATTATTCAGTTTATTTAAAAATAGATAAAATAATTAAGTAATTAAAGTCGCTTTTTAAAAAAGAATGAATTAATAAAATTAAAAAGTACAGATGGATGGGGGCCCCAATTATTATCATTTGAAAAGTAACAAGAAAGAAAACTTCATAAAATTTTCGATTTTATTTTCATAAACGATATTAAATATAGCCAAATCATCAAAGAAAGAGATGAAATATTAAGAAAATATTGTTGTAAAAAAAAAAGAAAAGGAAAAAATCAGTGACCCAATAACCTACCTTTTGAGCGCGTCTTACCTTTCAAGCGCCTCTTAAGAAATATTTTTTGTCTTTTGTGTGTTTTGATTATGACTCTGTTTTTTTTTTTTTATTATTTAGTATTTTCTCTACTCTCTATTTAGTATTTTCTTAATTTTTTATCCAGCCAGATATAAGCGATAGAAAGAGAAGATAATGCAGAAAAGTTGATCATCAAAAAAAAAAAAAAAGAATGAAGTAGACGATCAAAGGAAACAAAGTAAAAGGAAATAAAGTAGAAAAGGAAGGAAAATATTGTGAAGAAAAAAGTAAAAAGAAAGCAAAAAAAAACAGTTTTCATTAATGCTTTACTTTTATTTTAGACTCTAAAATTTAAGTGAGTGACAACGGTACATACACCATGTGGAATCATAATGAAGTTGGTTTTTTCGATTTTTGCTATTAACGTATGATTAATTAATTTGCTTGTTTTGTTCGTCTTCATAGAAGTTTTTTGTATTTTACGAAGGCTGAAATATTGTTTTAAGAAACTACAGCTATAATGTATGCCTGTATGCTTATAGATTTTGGCCTTTTTATATAACAAAAGGTGTTTCACCCTTAAAATGATCGAAGTTTTTTTTGACTGTTACACATTTACATAATATAACCGTTTGCAAAACATACATATGTACATGCACATGCAAGGTTTGTTCGAGCATGAATTTTGTGTTGTGTTGTGCAGTGTATGTTTACTTTATACATGTATTCAACATGATCAATTTACGAAATTAATTTTTGTTATATTTTGTATACTAAAACAGAAATCATGAAAAAATAATTTGAATTATGCTCGCCGATAAACACATACTTTTATAAAATAAAACACTACATAAATAGAGAAAGTGACATTTTACTTAATCACAAAACATTTTTATTGTCATTAAGATTGATCAAACCGTTCTTATAATTCTAAATTTTTACACAATTTAGTTGAGAATTTTATTATGCTATATACTCGGTTTCTTTTCTTTCAATATCACAATTTAATTTGATTTTACCTTCACATGACAATAATACAGTAAACCATTGTGTATAAGCCATGACATGCAAATAATGGCATAGAAAACATACATTTTTGTTATTAAATTAGAACATTTTTGCAACACGAATAATATGTTGCAACTGATTGATGTTGTAAAGCTGGTTTCATACTTTGTATTGCATACTTATAAAATTAATTTTTTTTTTATTAACATGAAATTAGAAGATAAAAATCTCTTTAAAACTTTAAGAGTATTTTTTTTTCTGTTAAAAGTAAAATGATGAAAGATTTTAAGAGGTAAAATAATAAAATGTAGAAAGAAAGACGAAGACATAGAAGAAAAAAAGAGAGGGCAGGGATTGCACGACAATAAAAAAAAATAATGCTTTTAAGATTTAATGAAGTGAAACTTTCTTAAGAATGTTGACAAATAAGTTTTTGTTTTTCTTTACTGCTATTTTTTAACAACATTTTGTCTCAAATAAATAAAAAAAAAAAAACAAAATGACTTTTTTAAGAATGTTAAAAAATTTTGTTTAACAGGTTAAAAACAAAAAGTGGCATTTTTTTATTTGCCTTCTTTGTTTTTAAATATTGAGATTAAATTGCATAAATTAACCGTGTCTGTTTTGTTTTATTGGCAGCATCGTAGCTAAAAGAATACTTTGTTGTATAGCCTTCTTCTTCTTCTCTCGCCGTTTCTTTCTTCCATTTTATTAAGCTCATTATTCTAACTTTAATAATGTTTTTTTTTACTTTCAAATTATTAAAATATAAATAAAATCAGAAAGAGGTAGGTATAAAATCTGAAACATTGGATTGAGGAAATACTATAGAAATATTTAAATAAAATTTTTAATACGCTTAACATTTTTTCTTAAATTATAATAAAAAGAAATTAGGTGACATAAAAACGGAAAATATTTTTTTTTTATTTTAATTTTAAAAAAATTTCTGATCTTTAGAACAGATATAATTTTTATAAGTAAGCGTAATGAGTTGTGTGTGCGATAATCAGAGTAGTTGAGAGAGCGAAGAGAGCTTATAATGACTGATATTTTGTTTGAATTTAAATGACACCCCTTCTGTTTATTTAGATTTTTGTAATATGAAATAAA